ATATAGTTATACTTCAATATACTGTATGTAATCGATTAGAGACAAGATATAGGGTCTGAGTGTATTGATATTGTAGACTCTATCTGGACTTAGTTATGTAAATGCGTTGGAGCCAAGAATCTATGGTCTAAACCAATAGACTTTATCCAACATATTGTAGAGATTAGATGGCAAACAATGTTATGACTGAAGTGTGAATTTTTATGAATTAATATTTGAAAACAATAATGTATTTTCAAATTAAATGTTTATTATTAATAAATTATTAATTGATTTTATATTTTACAAAATTCCTATGTCTTAATAGATTCATCGTAATTAATACTTATTGATAAATATCACAGTCAATGCTTGAATTGATTCACTGTATTGAGTGTCGGCTTTGACTAACTTTCTCTGTACTATTAATTTTTGACTTATAATGTATTCAAATGAATAGTAATTATTATTACATTTTGTAATGCTTTTGAATAAAACTTTATTTTAAATATTAATAATTAATTTTATGATTCACCTCTGATCAAACCTGACCACAACCTCAGAGACCACCCGCTCTCTACAACATAGTGTGTGAAAATAGTAGTAAATTGAATAAAGTAATAGTTAATTGATTATTTAATTATGATTTAGACTTTCACTCACATCCCATTCACACGTGTTATATCTGTAGCTCAAGAATATCTAAACGTAGGAATTTGTTATATTTTCTTAGCGTTGTTTATATTAAAATTATTTCAGCTTTTGTATATAAACTCATAAATATAGTTATACTTCAATATACTGTATGTAATCGATTAGAGACAAGATATAGGGTCTGAGTGTATTGATATTGTAGACTCTATCTGGACTTAGTTACCTTAAACACCTGCCTCCCCTTCTAAACATTCATTACCAAGATGCAATTTTATAATGAACTTTTCCCAAAAAGTGGGTGAAGGTAACTATTGCATCATCTTTGTCTAGCCAGATTGTAGACCAAGAATACCACGATAAACTAGTTTGCATTGAGTTGTATTGTATAACACAATGGCTATTATTGAGAGAAAGGGTTTGTTTCCCAGTTTTGGGCAAATTATGTCAAATGAAGAGAGCATTTATAAAATGCTTAATAATTTCAATGGCATTAAAAGTGGACAAAATTATTTGAATCTAAAGGATGAGCTAAATATTAACGGTAAGATTTTTATTTGTTATATTTTATATTATTATTATTGATTAATAATAAGATTTATTATTAATTTTGTTTTTTATTTATAATTAGATAATTACTTAATGAATGAGAAAGAGTTTGCGAAGAAGATATTCCCCCGACTTATAAATCTGATGCCGAGTCCGAGCGCTTTGATTGTATTGCAAAACATATTATTCAATGATTTCAAGATTCAGAAATCAAAACTTATTAAATCCGCTCTTAAGGCGGCATTAATTCCCAAATTGGTTGCCATTTATGAGACAACCAATGATTTAGAGACACGACAATTGGTTCGTAACGTATATTCTGTTTTATGTCTGGTTTTTAAGAATAATCCAAAAGTTGTAAAACTGGTTCTCAATAATAATTCTGTCATCGATTCCCTATTAAGGCAAGTGTTATATGAATTTAACAAATAATTGTTTAATTTTCAAATACATGTTAGACTTATTCAATTCTTAAATTTATTCAATTATAGACATTTGAATGACTCAAATGTTGACAATGTCTTCATTCTGGAGTCACTTCTTCTGATCCAATGTCTGATCTATTATTCACCACATTTTGAGACCACATCTCAAGTGTTGGACACTTTAATACAATTAACAAAATGTAACGATTCTGTTGTCATCAGTGAGTCTTTGTATACAATCTTTGTATTCAATGAGAGATTCACAGAATCGCGACAATTGATGATCACATCTAAAGCCGTGAAACAAATTATTCGGCTCTGGATTGACTACAAAGACGACGAAACTATAGTAAACCCAGCGTTTGGTATAATCTTAGGTCTTGTGGCCAGACATCCAAACTATCGGAAACATCTGTTGGGCGAAGAGATTGATCTCTTGGAGCACATCCCAGATTTGGTCAAAACTAATGAATTCAATAAGATTAACGCAATCACTATTATTAGGTACTGTGTTATGAGACCCATTGAAAACAAAATTTATATAATTTCTAACGAAATGAAGCAAATAATTGATAAAAAATTGTTTGAAATTTGCGTTGATTTGCTTCAAAACGATCCCTCAATGAATGTGAGGAAAAGTGCATTAAAAGCAATCATTGTTATCACATTCAAAGCAAATGGTGACCAATTAAAACAAATGGCTCAGGGTAAATATGATTTTTTCAAATACAACTTTGTGTAGAAATGTGCACTTTGTATGTAGTAAATTACTAATGTATTAAGTAATAATAAAATAGTATTAATTATTGTTAATTTGTTTATACAATCCGTGTCCACACATGTATCACCAAAAGGATGTCTACCATCGCTGTGTTCACAACTATCTTCGGATGATGAAGACTACGTGAAGACAGTATTGATAGCAATCATACACTTCCTGTTCATTGAATACAAGACAGTTTTGGCCAAAGAGAAAAAGCGACCGAATTCGAGGTCAGTGTTGAGTCCGTTCGCCGAACTGATCCGAGACTCGGATGGTCTGCGGCTATTGAACCGCATTAACAACAACCGTATGACCAAAGAGTCCGATAACAGCGCTTACGGGCTGTCAGGCGTGGAGCGGGCGGTCGGGGAGATACTGGCGCTGGCCTTCGGTGTGGAGACCCGGCCCTTATGTCGCCAGCAGTCATATATGGCTAAAACCATACTTAACGGGTTTGCATACATAACGGGTCTAAAGGGTGGAGAATTTATTTACTGTCAAGTCTGCGATAAAGGCAAGAAAAAGGTGACCGCAGACACCGGTATATTTGGGTGTAGACACGCGGCCTTATGCCGGGGCTGCGCCACCGGTGCTCTCATCAAACACTATAACGGAGACCCAAAGACCCCCACCTGTAAGGTAACTAAATGCGGTCGCGGTATACCCAATGACGTCGAGTGGTCGCTATACGCCGACTCCGCCACTGAATATGTATGTTATAAATTACCATATTGTTGTATGTAATGGGCGATATGATTGATTAAATGCATAATTGTAGTTTTAAACTCATCTACTTGTTTTTTGTTTATAATGTTGGTTTAAATTATTTTATTAATAAGTTTATTATTTTTATTTCCAGTACAATGAGGTCCATAACACGTCTGAGAAGCAGTTTGAATATCGTTTAAATAACATATCATTGAAGTGATTAAAACGGTTATATTCTGTAATTTTGTAACTGTTTTATTATTTAATTAAGTTTATAATATTTTCAATTGTAATACTCTTCTTAAAAAAGTTTATCTTGTAGTTATCTATAATGCACTAAATAAAATAATATTAATTAAATGAGATTAATCAAACTGTTTGACAATAACATTCTCTCTCTCTCTCTCAAATATTGTATGAAGTACAAAATACATAAGACACTATTAATAAAAGTAAATTGTATACTTCTATTTCATTTCCAACGATTACATTTTTTGTGGAAATTAATAAAATAAAACTTTGTATTATCAAATATAAAGTGCAAGTAAACAACTAGATCATTTCATAAAATGTTATAATTTATGTGTTTGTTTTTACATAGAGCTACTTTGTTTGTAGATTGAACTTTTTTCATAATTATTTTTTATTATATAACAAAACAATTAATACCTAAACGTGCAATACATTTACACACATATGACAGATAAACATGGTTACATAATAAATCTAAAATGGCATATTTATTTGTTGTTTATTTATTTGACTATTATTATTGATGTTCATGTCATGTTTTAAATGTACCTAGATAAAAATATTGGAAAAATCCATGGGAAATAATCAGTTAATCATAATAAATTATATAAAACAATAATTAAGGTTTATTTGTTTATTATATATAAATACCACGTTCACAAGTCACTTTCAATGTTTATTATATTATGTGAACGTTCAATCTAGAATGGCATATTTTAAATAAATCATCCAGATAATTCCAATGCACAAGTAAAACAATTTTAACATATTCCTGTGGGAAATTATAGTTATGCGTAACTTATATTACACTGCATATTATTTCATCTTTATATACATTTTTATGTAATTTTGTATACTATTAAGAACACAGTTAGATAATGATTATTAAGGTATTTTATGCTATCGTGAAACAAATATTTTTGGTTTTGTAATATTACCATTCTTGAGTATTTTATAAAAATCATATTTTTTGTTTGTTTTAATCTATTAATTAAAATTTAATATAATTTTGTTTTTTAATACAATAAAAAATATTAATTTGTCGGTAAATATTGTACATAAAATATTGTATCCCAGAAAGGATTAAGTATTTCAATATTGATTATCATAAGTACCACGTATATCTAATGTATGGAAATTTATGCATGTTATCAGCATTTACCGACAAACAAGTACTTGATAGATTAAGCGAGTTTTTTATGCAACTAATATTATAATAGGGCTAAAATATTATGGAAAAAACAGGAAATCGGAGATTATAACATGAAATTGATTACAGAATAGTGTCCAATACATTGTTGGATATACAATGTTGTATAACTATTTGGACTCGAAGGGGGTGGAGGTGGGGGTGCTCGAGATGCAGGGGTTTTCACTGTAATTAAACACACGTTTTATTATTTCAAATACTTTTATTTATTACTCGCTCACCAAAAGTGCACTTCAATTCAAATCAATTATAATTACAAATGAAATCATTTACTTAAAAAGCCAAAAATATCTGCAATTGCTTTATATTGTTGTAGATTCATATGTAATATTTATTGCATACGGGTTGCCATAATATGAGTAAAAACTGAACTATGTACCATTCAACAAGTCTAAATCAAGATTATGTTAATAATACCAAATTATTATTATTAAATATTTAATCTCATATATTGTGAGAACAGATTGGGTGTATTTGTGGGCCGGCATTTGCACCGCAACCACATGTGTTGTTTCCGTAACTTAACGTCATTTGAAGGCAAGAATTTCATATATATATTCTGGTATATAATAGTGTGTATTGAAGAGTGTATTGTAATCCTATACTCTAATACAATATACAAAAGTTGAGAATTTACATTTAAACATTTATACTCTTACTTTTTAGTGTTACATAAAACAAATAGTGAAATTTTACTCATATTTAAGGTCTAGTTCAACAAAGTTTATTTTAGTAATATTAAATCATTAAATTGTTTTTATAAATAATGTCTACTATTGAGAGAAAAGCTTTGTTTCCAATCCGTCGACTAATTATGACAAATGAAGAGAGAATTAATGAAATTCTCAATAATGCCATTCAAAACAATGATAAGTATTTGAATTTGAAGGATGAGCTCAATATCAACGGTAAGATATTTTATATAAATATTCAAATATTTTATTGTTAATCCTTATTAATGTTAAACTAATTTTACTTAATATTTATAATTAGATGATTACTTAATGAATGAGAAAGAGTTTAAAAATAAGGTATTTCCCCGATTACTGGATCTGATGCCGAGTCCGAGCGCTTTAATTGTATTGCAATACATATTATACAGTGATTTCAAGATTCAGAAATCAAAACTTATTAAATCCGCTCTTAAGGCGGCATTGATTCCTAAATTGGTTGCCATTTATGAGACAACTAATGATTTAGAGACACGACAATTGGTTCATAAAATCTATTTTGTTTTATGTCTGGTCTTTAAAAATAACCCAAAAGCTGTAAAACTGGTATTCAATAATAATTCTGTTATAAATCCGTTATTGAGGTAAATGTTTAATGAATTTTAAAAAATATTTATTAATTTTATAATTTATAAATTTATAGTCATTTGAATGACTCGAATGTTGACAATGTCTTCATTCTGGAGTCACTTCTTCTGATTCAATGTCTAGTCTATTATTCGCCACAATTTGTGACCACATCTCAAGTGTTGGAGACTTTAATACAGTTAACAAAATTCAGTGATTCTGTTGTCATCAGTGAGTCTTTGTATACAATCTTTGTATTCAATGAAAGATTTACAGAATCGCGACAATTGATGATCACATCTAAAGCTGTGAAACAAATTATTCAACTCTGGATTGACTACAAAGACGACGAAACTATAGTAAACCCAGCGTTTGGTACAATCTTAGGTCTTTTGGCGAGACATCCAAACTATAGGAAACACCTGTTGGGCGAAAAGATTAATCTCTTGGAGCACATCCCAGATTTGATCAAAACTAATGAATTCAATAAGATTAACGCAATTACTATTATTAGGTACTGTGCAATGCGACCCTTTGAAAGTAAAGCCTATAATATAGGAAATGAAATCAAACAAATAATTGATAAGAAATTGTTTGAAATATGCGTTGATTGCATTCAAAACGATCTTTCAATGAAAGTGAGAAAAAATGCATTAAAAGCAATCATTTTTATCATATTTAAGGCGAGCAAAGATCAATTGGAAGAGTTGGCTCAGGGTAAATATGAATTTCAGTTATTTAAAATAGTATAATACAATATAAAGTCGTGATTAACATAGCTAATTTGTCATAATGTACAATTAAGTTCACATCAACTTATAATTATCACAAAAATCGATTTAAATTATTTATTTATGCAATCTCTACCCACACGCAATATTTATCACCAAAAGCCTGTTTATCAGCCCTTTGTTCACAACTGGATTCCGATGACAACGACTACTTGAAAACAGTATTGATAGCAATCATACACTTCCTGTTCACTGAGTTTAAGACATATTTGGCCAAAGAGAAGAAACGGCCGAATCCGAGACAGACTTTGGGTCCGTTCGCCAACATTATCCAAGACTCGGATGGTTTGAGGCTATTGAACCGCATTAACGACAACCGTATGACCAAAGAGTCCGATAACAGCGTTTACCGACTGTCAGACGTGGAGCGGACGGTGGAGGAGATACTGGCGCTGGCCTTTGGTGTGGAGACCCGACCCATACTGCGTCAGGAGTCATGGGTGGCTCACACTGTGATCAACCGTTTTGTACGCGAAGTAACAAATATTTACTGTCAGAGCTGTGAAAAAGAGAAGAAGTTAAAAGTGTTGGCCAACACTCCTATCTTTGAGTGCTCGCACGCGGCTCTTTGCAGGGACTGCGCCACCGGTGCTCTCATTAAACACTATAACAACGACCTCAAGACCCCCACCTGTAAGGCAGCCAATTGTGGTGCGGGTATACCGGCGGACGTCGAGTGGTCGGTGAACGGCGACTCTGTTTTAAATTATGTATGACTTATAACTTATGTATTAACATGTTTGAGTAAAATGCAGAATAATTTGTTTATGAATGGAATGGTTATGAATTATAACATACCATAACATGTTCAATTTGTAAAATCAAACTGATTATTTTTGCATTTTATTTCATGTTTTGTTAATTATTATTTATAATTTTGTTTTATTTGCAGTACAATGAGGTCCATAAAACAGCTGAACAACAATTTGAATACCGTTTGAATAATGTTACGTTGAATTGAAAGGCTTTATATTTATGTTAATTAATTATTATAATTATTAACATTTTATCAAATATTTGATAATATAATAATTTAGAATATTGCTATATAGTAAAAATCAATATTAGCCTTACTAAGGCTACACTCAGTTTTGAGCACTACTACCACTCACTGTGTGCTGCTATGACTCACACTATGTGAGCACTACCAGCACTCGCACTACAAGTGCAATGGTTTGACCCAAACAGTGGAGAAGAGAGAATATTCTGGAAAATAACAGAATATATATTCTCTCTCTCTGTCTGTCGGCCACACACTTCTCGACTATCACTCGTTTTGAGCACTTGACTCGCGTCCCTTCATACAAGTGATGTCTTTATAGGTTTTATTTTAGTGTAAAATTTTCTTCAATACTAAACAAATGTTTCCTATAATATTGT